AATAATATTTAAAAAATATTAATCTGACATCTAGATCAAACTCATATATACTCACAGACAAGCTTTGTGATGTCACCCCCTTGCCTTCCGCTTTAAATCAGTTCGAAACTCAAAAAATCTGCTAGTACCGAAGGCTAGGTCGACTTAAGTTTTACCTTTTAGCCAATCTATCTATCTATCTATGTATTATGTCCCTTTGGGACAACCGGAAGTTAAGAATTTAAAAATAATTATATTGGGCTGTCTGTGTTATTACATAGCCGGAAGCTCAAACGTATAGATGTACGAATATATCATTAGTAAATGTCAGATTCTACTTGCGCTTTTATGTGATAAAAAAACTATTCGTTTAGAAATGTGGTATCTGTGATCTCATCGGAATGCATCAGTCTAGCCATCAGAAGTACGCGCATGTGCGATCGCATGGAGCTTCGAGTAGTATGCTTACGGAACTGAATTCTAGCGCTAGACAGTCTTTTTTGGGCAAAGATTTCAAATTAGAACAAGAAGCCAACTTTGTTTATCAATAACAAAAAGGCGACTTTGATTATTTTGTAGGCATCTTTTCAAAAGTATTTATTTTCTTGGCCTGAGAGGTCAACAATTTGAATTAAAAACGTATTAGTGAGCAGTCAAAAAGAATATCGTATCGGTCACGCATTTTTGCTTTCACTATGTATTAGAAGTAAAAAATATAATATTCTACGTCATGATATACATTCAAAAATAGCTAGTCCGACTTCACGCTCCAGGAGCGTCTAGTTGAGATTAATTTAAAACATTTTTCCTAAATATCATATAGTATCATTTCAGCTTTGGGATAGGTTGATTCATAGTTAGTACGAAAACAAAATGCAGGACTTCTTCGTGGAAACTTTTTAAATTTTTTAGAATTATGCAGCTACAATTCTCTATAGCTTACAACGGGGTGACCTACGTAGCACGCAGTTGATGTAATGTATTCATAAAATGTATTGTATTCCATTGTTTCTCGTTCTATTGTATTATGTGTTTTGTATTATATCTTTATGAATATATTACATCAACTCAGTACTACATAGGCTCTCCCAGCTTACAACACGGTCGTCACCATTGAGACAACCCATGCAACACACTAGCAAGGTCTCAGTTTTAGTATGGCATCATAGACCTTCACTAGGTTTTGAAGCAATCAAATTCAGATAACAGAACTCTCTTATGAAACAGATGGCTTGCTTTTCCATGTGGGATGGATAATTATTCAAAATCTTCTGTGTTGCAGTAAATTGCGCATGCTTAATAGCGACTAAACTCAGCAGTTACATTATTTGTCATTAGTGTTGGAGTTTTATGTATAGTTTAAAACACGAGAGAGAGTGTTTTATCAGGTATAGAGATTCGAGCCGAAGGCGAGTGTTTTAAACGGCTTAAAAAACTCCAACACCAATTTGAAACTCAAATCCGTTAAAATTCTTGGAGAAATTGCCGTACAAATATGTTCAGAGATAAATGGGGCAAACTGATCATGCGCGAATCACTTTACAAAGCACTCTTGTCATCCCACATTGAATACGCTTAATCAACAATTAGACCTCGAGGTCGAGT